TAATTACCACAAAGCCTCTGTCTTCATAAATATTTATAAAATGAGTCTCAAACTCACACTTTTAACCCCCGACTTCTAAAATGGTGATGATTAGCTCTTCGAGACCATCCTTTTATACATAATTATTTATTTTAGGGCTATGAGTCCTTCATTTCTTTCTTTATTTATTTAATAAATAAACAGGTGTTACACTCTGCTCATATATTTCACCTTATCTCATTGGACCAAACTTTTTTTTTTTGGAAATTAAAACCTGCTGACTGAGGATTTAAGAGATTGGGTTTACGTGTGCTCCTGTTTTCCACTGCTTACATACGTGTCCACCTTCTGTTTTCCAAAGCGATACGTGTCCGATGCTTTATCTCTACCTTTTCCATAGTGTTCATTCATATTTTTTCTAGAATCCCACCACCCCACCGCCACCGAAATAAGATTTCCAGTCTGTCGACTCCCCCTTTGACATCATTCTTCTATAATCCCTAATTGAAGATTTCAGCAGACCACCGTTGCCGCACCAGGAAACGTTTTCGCCACTATCGCGATTGACATCTTCTTCGTCCCCCTGTTGGAGACCAACGGGATACCCTCTACCAATCATTATCTTACACTAATACTTTTCTTCCACTGAACAACACCAATGTTGTTAATCATCTCCACACCTTCGATCTCTCCACCGCTTCTACCACTTACTGACCCAATCTGAAAATTATCTTCCGCCAGGATCTTGAGGTCTTATGCTTGCCTTCCTTTTTTCGCCTCTCTGTTAGGTTACATTTCCATTTGATTGTAACTATCGCAGCAAGCATCAGTGGTTGTTGACCAAAAAACGTACCATTGGGCTCGATTGGACCGACCAGGATGGGGTTTCAGCGACTTTGGGTCGATGGAAGAAGAAAAGGAGTGGAAGCATCGGCAGGAGGAGTTGTTGCTCCGATTGTAGCAGGTCAGTAGAGGAGGGGGGGTCTTCTTCAGCAACCTTCCCCATTCTTCTTCTTTTCTCTCTCTTTTTTTGTTATTTTTGATAGAAATCGATGGGGTTTTTGGGTTGCTTTTTGATAGGGAATGAAAGAAACACAAACGTTCACCTCTGCCTCTCATTTCATTTATTGGACGTGTTTGTCGATTTCTTTCTACTTAATCCTTCAGGTTGGTTTTTTTGGGCTTTAGTATGCCTTCCATGTGTTCGATGAAAGTTCTATTTGAACTTTAACTCATACAACTGCTTATCTTGATTCATTGTAACAATTCCTTTTTTTTTACATTTGGTTGTTTTACTTGCCAACGCTACCCTACAAGCATCTCATCCTACATATTGCTTCAACATGTCCACCAGTTTCTCTTTTTGGTGCCATTATTCTTCAGGTAAGTCCTTCATTTAGAATATGTAGGTTAATCTTCGTTATTTTCTTTTGTATTTTAATTTTAAATTCATATGTGGGTTTGATTTCAAGGATGAAAAGCTGCTACAACTAATTGAGTATATGAAACTATTAGTAAATGCTATTAATGTTATTTTTGTTTTTCTTTTTTCCCGAATTGAGATGTTTCTGCTGTGATTTGATCGGGGCACGAACAATTCTATCCTGTATATTAGAGTTACAATCATTGTCAGGAGTAATTGATATGTAGCTGTCAAGGTACCTGTCGACTACTCTACCCAGGTAAATTTTTTCCTCTATTTCTATGACTCCATATTGTAAGTCTGTTTCTATGACTCCATATTGTAAATCTGTTTCAAATGCCCCATTCGAGATTCCAGTTTGAAATAAGTATAAAAAAATTAAAACAATACCCGAATATGCGAGACTTAAAGAAACAAAATTACAAACATGCTTAAAAGGTTAGTTGCTATAGACTTGTGGGGAAAGGTACCTAGGCCATTTTGCATGTTGAAATAAGTTAAGAGAGAGAATGGTCAACTGATTTTGATTTTCATGGATGAAAGTTTCTTATTTGAATGTATTATATTCAACTCTAACTAAATTTTTTTTTCTGATATTGATAGCAGTGGAACCATAAATTATGGTGAGTTTCTTGCTGCAACTCTTCACCTTAACAACCTGGAGAGAGGGGAGAATTTGCTTTCTGCTTTTGCATTCTTTAATAATGATGGAAGTGGATACAATGATCCAAGAAATCGATCAAGATAATGTAATAACTTAACTATTTACTAAACTATCATATTATTATTTCTAATATTAGTTATTATAGTTATATTAAATCATAAATTATTATTGCTTGTTGCAGGATTGACAAATTGATTTGGGGGAATTTGCTCCGACTATGAGGAATACAATCACATAAGATTGCATAACTAGGGTATATGGCCACCCTATAAAGTTTATGGTCAAAGAGGTATGATCATAGCAGTTCACGGTCCAAGTGGTTCACGGTTTCATGGGTTCGCGGTCCCATGTGTTTACGGTCTCAGGAGATACACTAGACTGTAAACTCCTTTTGTTCATGGAAAAGTGATGATTTCAAGGCCAAACACAGGAATCCTAACTAGATATAAGTATAAGAGGATGATACTTACGATTTGAAGACAATTAAGGGTGTTTTCGGCCCAAAACACTAAGGTGTTCTTGAGGATCTTGAAGATCTAGACTCAAAAAATGAAATCCATGGATGAATCAAGAGTGAAACATGGATTTAGGAAGGATCTAACAACCAAAGAAGGAATCACTTACTTGTTCTTGAAGATTTGGAGGTAAAAGTTTATGATCCTTTGGAGAGAATCTGATTTCTAGGCTTGAAATGGTGAAAAGTGATTGAAAATGGCTAAGTGTCATATATATAGGGATGGGTTTACGGTCACCATGACCGTAAACTCATTGGTCTTGACCGTAAACTCCCCTTTTAAGGAGAATTACGGTTGCAGGCAGTTAAGAACTTAAGCTGCTATTTCCAATCTCTTATTCCTTTGATGTACTAGGGTTAGAACACTCAAAACAGGTTCCAAACAGTGATAACTGGAAGCAAAATGAGTCTAACACTGATAGGTTTAATTGATTAAACAAGCTTGGAAATTTCAGGTTGTCACAGATTAGGGTTTGGGACTTGGAGGTTGGAAATGAGGTCATAAGGTGGGAATTAAGTTGCTTAAATAGGGTGCAAAACCCCGAAATTAGGGTTTCATTCTGGTAGGCCTACTCGCCGAGTTGAGGGCTCTCAACTAGTCGAGTAGATGGCTAAAACCCACGTCTAGTCTCGCTTCTACTCGATGAGTCTGGGGCTCCCAACTCGTCGAGTAGCTCTACGAAAATAAACAAATTACGATTAAATGCGTACCAGGAATGAGACGTTACAGTGTTTTATGAATCTTTAAATTAAAAACGAAATTTATGGTCTTGAAAATTTGATGTTACAGTTTGTGTCGGGTTTCATGTTGAATTTGTGTCGGATTTCGTGTCGAGCTTGTGTTGGGTTTCGTGTCGTGTCAATTTTTGTCACCTCTAATTGTCGTCAACTGTGACATTAACATATGAATATAAGAGAATGGAAAATCAACTAAGTAGTCTTTAGGGGTGTTTGGTAGGGTTGTGCATGGGTCGGTTTGGATCGGTTTTAGACCCAAACCTAACCCAACCCGCAAATTATTGGTTTTTATTTTTCAGAACCCAATAGGGTCGGTTTCTGTTCGGTTCGGTTTCTCGGTTTCTGTAGTCGGTTTTGGCAATTTTTCGGTTTTTTAGGTTCAACCCATTACTCATGGGTTTTGGGTTTCAACCCATTTCCCAGAAATGAAGCAAGAAGTTAAATGCTTAAAAACCACCAAATTGAAGTTAAATACTTTAAAAGCATGAGTCTTAAAACCAAATAGTTTATTACAGGTAGTGTTTCGGATTACTTTTTGACCTCAAAAGTTCTTTTTTATTTTAGCTTTTGAGAGGGCAAAAACCAAAAGTTGTTTTTAAAAATATTTGCTTTAGCATTTCTTTACTTTTGAGTGGTTAAAAGTCACAAAAAAGACATCCTTTCTTGACTTTTGAGAAACCACTATTTTCTTCTTGGCAAAAAATTAGTTTCAAAAGGATTTTTCTAATTGCAAAACATCTATTTGAATTTTTTGATTTTTTGAAAAAGTCAAAAATAAAGTCATTTAAAAAGCAATCCCAAACATCCTCTTTATTTTCCATTACACATTCTAAAACATTAATTGCATTTTCCATTCTCTTACTTGAACAATGCAAACAAGGGACGTCACATGTTCCATACAAAAGACATACAAACAAACCTCAATATCATACATACAAAAAGACATACTTATTAGAAGCAATAAAGCAATACATAAACCCTTTCTTAAAAACATTGCATCCACCAAGAAGACAATCAACTACTAAACATCTAAAATTCACTAACTTTGTCTTTATTTGGTCCAACTCTAATTTCATAGGGTATTGATAAATAAACCCAGGGATAAAACATTTGGTCCAAGTCCAATTTCATAAGGTATTGATAAATAAACTCATTGATGGGACATTTATATGAGGGTTACATCATTAAGGGTTCAAATAAGATCCCTCATTTTCTAGTGTCTAATTTTTTAAATATGATTACATTCTCATCATAAATGTTAGGTTATAAAATCATTTATAATTTTTTTATAATTAGTCTAGTCTGAGAAAAAACCATAAAACATAGTCACATTTTAAAGCATAAATACTCTATCCATATTAAACTTCCAAATACAATGGTTTGCTGCCAATTTTTTTAAAATGCAGATGATCATATGGCAATAAATTTATACATATATGTATATTTTGTCAATAATTTAAGAATGGTGCTCTCTATTTTAAAATTCCCTGTTCAATCTTGTCCTATAAAATGTACTTCCTCTTAGAGTTTCCACCATATCGCCTTCAAGTTCTTTATGAAAGCATATGCATTCTAACGCACCATAAATTCATTAATAATTCGTTCAACAATTTTTTTAAACTATTGGGTCCGCAATCTATAGGTTCACTTCCAGTACACGCATGTGATCCATTTACATTGTATGTCACACATTGTTTTAAAAAGACTACAAACCAAACTATAATAAAGTAACAAATAATCTACAAATTCTTCAAAAAAAATCATATAATACGAAACAAAGTTTGCACAACTTATAAAAAAGCTATCACATTTTCTAACAATTGGGTAAACATATAAGATATAACAATAGTTTCATTACTACAAAAACATATACAAAAGTATTTTTCCAAGTGTACTATAAATTTAAACTTTTCCCTTTCCTTTTCCCTTGTGACTAGGCCAGTAGGAAGAAAATGATTTCATTCTAGCAAGTATAGGCATATGCAACTTACACCTTTTAATATACACTTCGTTTATAAAATTCACAAGGGCGTGAGTCCACTTGCACTGTTCCCGCTTCCTTAATACCTAACACATTAAATCAGGATTCAGATGATAAAGAATGATACACTTTATGAGATCAATTGATTTTAATTAAGATATCAAGATAGGAAACTTCACCTGTGGTAAAAAAAAAAAACGCTAATCACTTAAATGAGGGAGAATGTTGACAGCATCAGCTAGTTCATCCATAATGTCACCATTTGTTCCAAGCGGGATGAAAACTCTAGCCAGATAATCAGGCCGACCACCGGTCCAGTCCGGTTGGCACCATTTCAATGCATCCCACCATTCATTCTCTCCTTTAATTTCCTTGATATTATTATCAAATGCTTTCATGTAGGATAGTTTCTCAAGGTTTGGGCAATCATAAACGACCAGACTTTCTAATCTTGGGGCAATACTTATACTACCAGAGATGCTCAACAATTCTGGGAGGTGGATAAGTGATATCTTCTTTAAGCTTGGGAGACAAGGAGTTGATGTAGACTGGGGAGATTCCAAACTTACTAGGGTTTTTATTGTGCTGCAGTCTTCAACGATAAGGCACTCCAAGCAAGTGAGACTTTCAAGCAACCCCTGCGTAAAAATGGTCCTCAGCTCAGGGCATGAATGCATCGCCAAGGTTTTTAGATTGGACAGACACCGACTATGAATTGGACCATTCCAGATGCAAAGGAGACTCTTCATGTAATGAATTGAGAGATGTTGTAATGATCCAAGAACTGGTCTTACGAAAAAATCTTCTAAATGGCGTCCATTGACAATCTGCAGCATCTCATTGCATTCCGACAACAGGCAGAATTTCAGCTTCTCCATCTCCGCCAGTCCTAAGGCAGACAGGGACTGGAGAGTCCAGTGGCGGTCCAAGAAAAGAGCAGCAACATCTGTAAGCGCCATGGAAATAGCTTCTAGGTCCCCCTCGCCATTTGTATATGTGAAGCACTTGGGCTGTTTTACAAAGGTCCTATGAAGGTCAAGTGGGACACGGGATATCATGCGTTGTTGAATGTGACCAACAATGAAACCAAAATTCGACAAATGTTGGTAAATTGGGACCTTTCGCCAGCTCTTTGTCTCCATAAATATGCTCAGAAGTTCTGCGGTTGGGAAATACAATGTCAGAGATTTCAATTTCCGAAATTTAGGCAAAATGTTGATGATAAGTTTGACCTCATCTTCCCACCGTTCACCATACAGATCCACACAAATGCTTAGTTCCCCTAGCCGTAGGAGCTTTGATAAAACTGCTGCAAGAATTATTTGCATACTTTGGTTGCTTTGTTTGTACAAAGAAAACTTCAAGCATTCCAACTTGGTTAGCAACCCAAATTGCTCTGGTAAGCATACAAGTTGTGTTCCTTCTGAATCAAATACCTTGAGATTCTTAAGGGCTCCAATTTCAGGTGGTAGTTCCATCAAAAGATCACAGTCTCTTATGAATAATTTCCCAAGAGCTGTCAACTTAGAAATGGAAGATGGCAAACATTTTATGCTCGTGCTGGACAAATCTAGAACTTGGAGGCTCGGCATGTTATCGAAGAATGTGACAGGAATATCAGTCAGATCTTGATTGAAGTGCAAGAACAAATTCACAAGAAGGGGGCAGTTGGGGTTATTTGGAAGCTCGGATATTATGTTATTACTTAAATGGATTTCCCAGGCGTCCGACTCTTCAATGTTTGACATTTTGTTTGGTTCTGAACCATCTTGTTTAGGATAATGTCCATATCCACGAGGTAGAGACTCTACAAAATAAGAAACTAAAATAACTCGAATCTCATTTCTCATTCTAACACAATTTCCCCCTACTTGCTCTATAAGGAAAGACCGTATAACATCTTCAAAGACAGATTCTGCTTCTTGTTCGCCTTTTACCAGGCCATCTTTAGTCCAACTGTTAATCAAAGAAGACTTTTTTATTTTGGATCCTATGTAGTGTGATGCGAATTGTACGATGCACCTCTGAGACAAGGATTCCATGCGAGACCAAATGAATCTTAATACCCTCACCATGACATCATTTGTGACACCCATCTGTGATGATGAAGATGAAGAAGGCTTCTCTAGTGAGGATGATGATGAAGAAGGGTTCTCGAGTGAGGATAATTCGTGTAATGCAAGTACCCATACACCAACATCAACCACGCCTCTCAAAGCCCTTGCAAGTAAAATGATGGCAAGTAAATGGCCATTGCACTTTTCGATTAATTGTGCTGCCATTTGTTGAATTTCAGAGTACTTGCCCACTGTTTCTAGGTCAACATTTGTAGAGAATAATATCCAGGGTAGAAGATGATCCTCAACTCTGATCTCTATATCCACCGGGCAATAAGCATTTTTTGATCCACTTGTAATCACTATCTGCACTGTTCCAAACCATTTGGAAAGATTGAACTCAGGGTCATGCAAATCGATATAAGTGTCACTGCAATCTACGAATAACAAGCAGTTTGGGAACTTATTGAGAACGTTTATTTTACTACCAGTTTCCAAACTTCTTTTCCTCCACAGATGTATCTCTTCTTCTATGTCATTCATAAGCTCTTCGATGCTATCATGTTTTACATGTACACACAACACCATATCAAAGGCTCTTCTTAACTCTGGCAAATCCTTTAATATTTCAGCTATTTCAAGAGCACCACTTCCTGCAGTTCCAAGCTTCTTGACTTTCAAATCTTTTATACAACTTATAGCTTGTTGAGTGGCTGAAGAAATTGCACTCGCATGGACTTCTGGTATACCTGACCAAAAACTTGCTAAAGGAACTTGCAAGCCTTCTGGTAAATAGGCCACCATATCAAAAGCAGCATCATCTAAATCTTCTTCGATGTCTTGAAGAAGTTTTTGAATCTCCAACAGGTAGCCTTCATCCCTTGAAGAGTCTTGTAACTTTCTAATATACTTATTAAATGAGGAAAACTTGTCTAAAAGAGACCCAAAGTTGACCTCCGCTTCTTTTTTCATAGGGTAAAACCAGATGAGGTGTAAAAAGTCAGTCATCGTCATCAATCTACCAGCTCGTTGTATATACTCTAACTGCATCAATTCATACAACGACTTCATGGTTTCTTCTCCAGATGACAACTCTTGAACAATGACTTCATCGTCTGGCTCACTAGCTTGATCAGAATCCTCACCAGAGAACCGGATACTTCTCATTGGAGTCATTTCATATGGTTTCCATATAACATTAAAATCCTTTTCCGGCTCTCTGACCTCTCTAAAGTAGCTTTCCCCTGAAAAGCAAAATAGCGTCTTTTAACAAAGGAAGGTGTAACAAACTAAATTTACTAAGAAATGCATGTATACACTCAAATTGATGCACCAACAGTAAATTATAAATTCAAAAACAAGCAGACAATACAGAAGAAGTATGGCTTTACCAGAGTTCACTCCGGATGAAAAAAAATACTTCTGCAACCTCCAATCAGATGTAGTTATTATAACCATTTTGTGAATTGAATTATGATCAGTTCTCTCATGTAATGCCATTATAGACTCAAGACCAAAAAGAACCTCAGCCATTGTAATACGTGGCTCTTGACGATCACGCAAACAGCATTCCACTATTCTTACATAATCATTTAAGCATTTAAGTGAAATGTGTCCCTTCAAATCTGGATCAATGATCTGCTCTAGTTTCCCTAGTCTCAAACAGTCTTGAGCCCATCTCACCAATTCTACTTGTTCCTGATCAAGACTTAAATCGATTGCACGCCTCCTGCATAGCACTTCCAGTAGAACCACTCCAAAGGAATACACATCAGACTTCTTACTAAGTCTGCCAGTTACCATATATTCTGGATCAAAATACCCAAGTGTGCCTACAACGGCAGTACTAACATGGGTAGAGTAGTTATCAATAGGGATTATTAAAGACAATCCAAAGTCTGCGATTTTTGCTACCCACTGGTTATCTAACAAAATATCTGAGCTCTTCACATTGTTGTATATGACCTCTTGCCCACTACTCCCATTGTGGAGGTATACTAATGCACGTGCAACCTCAAGACATATTTTGAGCCTTTGTGACCAAGATAAAGGAGTGCTCCGCTTGTTTAGATGGTCTCCAAGGCTTCCATTGGACATATATTCGTAAACAAGGATCATCTCTTTGGCATCGGTACAATATCCAATCAAACACACTATGTTAGGGTGTCGCAACAAAGGAAGTAAATAAACTTCAGTCTCAAACTCTTGGACACCTTGGGATGAGGTGGACTTCCACCTCTTAACAGCCACAGTAGTTGTTGTTGTTGTTCCATTCTTGATTGTGCCTTTGTACACACTGCCGAATCCACCTTTCCCTATCACCAAGCTTTCGTTGAAGTCTTGTGTGGCGGATCGAATCTGAGAAATTGTAAATCTCCGGCAAGTTTCTCCCTTTGGAAACAATAATCCGGTCTCCTTACTAGATGCAGACAGAGGTGGCGAATTGGTCTGTTTGGATATGTGACCATGATCTCCCTTATGCAAAAGGGATTTGGCAGACAAAAGCCTTGTCACCTTGCTAAAGTAGCTTCCCCCTGAAATGAAAAGCAATATTAGCATCTTTTTGCAAACAAAAATATACTCATTAAAGATAAATACATACATACATACATACATACATATGTTTATATATACACACATAGAGGCATTAGTTAGTGAGGTAAGTCAGATGATATATACTGCTTAAACAAGCCCCTATCTAAAGTTCCCATGTTACTGTTATTCTTTATTTTTCTTCTTTTTACGATAAAATGATCAAATTCTAATAGTCATCTCTTGTATGTATATTTAGTCTTCACACTTGTATAGGATTGATTACATTAGTTTATCTCTATCTCTATATTATAGTTATCACTTTAGGTGTATATATAAATATATGTTTAGTCTTCATTTGTATTGGGAAACCTAAATTCAACCCAATATAAATTACATTTTCTCTCCTTTATAAGAGGGAAATAATTCTAAAACCATTAGTTTATCTCTATCTCTTGTATTCATTTATCTCATCAGGTCAACTTCAAATTGTGTATTTTGATTTCTGATAGAACAATGCAACAGTTTTTATTATCTACACCTCCTCGGCTCGATCAAAACAACCCTGCTCAATGAACAAAATCTCCAAAGAGAATTAAGCATACACAGTTCTGACAAAATCGAACCCTCTATGCATAATTCAACCAAAGCAGTGTCTCATTCGAAGAACCAAGATGTAATTCAGAAGTAGGGTTATATAATAGACTAAATGCAGTAGCATATAGTGGTTTAAGGTTGGGAGAGAGAGTGCATACGAAGAGCTAAGGAGTGTGGCCACAATACTATGAAACAACCTCATACTTATAATTATGATCACTTCTCTCTTGTAATGCCAATATAGACTATATGCTACATCATGTAACTAAATACTTATAATTTTGACTTGTTTTTCATCTTCTGTACATTTCATAGTAACATACTAGATTTACCAAATAAAAACATACATATATTTGCACAAATAGATGGTGGATTATAAATTTATTCACAACCAGAAAAATATAATTGAGTTTTGGCTTTACCAGAGTTTCTTTGTCCATGGGAGAATTGCTTATCCAACCTCCAATCAGATGTGGTTATACCCATTTGGGGAATAGAATTATGATCACTTCTCTCTTGTAATGCCAATATAGACTCAAGACCAGAAACAACCTCATCCATTGTAACACGTTGATTTTGACTTTCACGCAAACACTCTTCCACTATTTTCACATAATCATTCAAGCACGTATGTAAAATGTGCCCCTTCAACTTTGGATCTATGATCTGCTTTAGTTTCCCTCTTCTCACACAGTCTTGAGCCCATCTCACCAGTCCTTGCTGTTCCTTTTTAAGACTTGTATCAACTACACGCCTCCTGCATAGCACTTCCAATAAAACCACTCCAAAGGAATACACATCAGACTTCTTGCTTAGTCTGCCTGTTGCCATATATTCTGGATCAATATCCCCAAGTGTGCCTGAAAAGGCAGAAACAGCAGTACTAACATGGGTAGAGCAGTCATCGAAAGAGATTATTTTAGACAATCCAAAGTCTGTGATTTTGGCTCCCCACTGGTTATCTAACAAAATATCTGAGCTTGTCAGATTGCCGTGTATGACCTCTTGCCCACTACCACTGTGGAGGTATTGTAATGCACGTGCAACATCAATACATATCTGAAGCCTTTGCGACCAAGATAATTGAGTATTGTGCTTGTGTAGGTGCTCTTCAAGGCTTCCATTGGACATATATTCGTAAACAAGGATCATCTCTTTGTCATCGGTACAATATCCAATCAAACACACTATGTTAGGGTGTCGCAACATAGAAACTAATTGAACTTCAGCCTGAAACTCTTGGGAGCCTTGATTAAAAACGTGGTTCCACTGCTTAACAGCCACAATACTGGTTGTTGTTCCATTCTTGATTGTGCCTTTGTACAACTTCCCGAATCCACCTGACCCTATGAGCAAGCTTTCTTTGAAATTTTGGGTGGCGGATCGAATCTCATCAATTGTAAATTGACGGCAAAGTCGTCCCTTTGGGGACGATGATCCGGTCTCCTTACTCGATGCAGGTGGAGGTGGCAAATTGGACGGTTTGGATGACCATTCGGAACTGTAAGGGGAATCATCGCCTCTCCACATTTGTGTTCTTCGCTCTTAGCAATTAAGGCGCACCAATGACTTCAAAAAGTATTCTAGATCAGAAAACCCACCTGCTCAAGCAAAACTCCCTGTATCAAATCTTGTTGCAGTTTCAATAGCCGGAGCTGCTGAACTGCCTCCGGAATTCCCTTGGCCCAACGGAGTCGGTGTGCTTGTATCAACCGTATTATACTTCTCTCCCTACCATCACTTTTCTGCAAAAAAATTCCTCCTTCAATTATTCTGTGTTTCTTGAGACTTATCTTCAGGGCGAGAGTGGCGTTGACCAACGGCGCACAAATACTCCACCTACTTGTACCGTCCAGGCATGCAATATAGTTTTTAACCGTGCTAATTTATACCTTTTTTTATACCAATATGGGTGGAATATCACGAACTAATTAAATTTGGGAAAATGATTGTATAATGTAGTAGACTATTATTGTTATATATAATTTGTTTTTTTTTTTTAATTATGGTTTATCAATAAATTTGTATTTGTTGTTTAATAAATACTATTTTGATCACCAAATTATCGGTGGTTATGTATTCAAAAAAATATCATTAAATTCATATTTGTTATTAAATAAACACGGTTTATCATTAAACCAATTTTTATACATATTTAGTCACATTTTCGGTCCTTTTCTCTTAGACTCTGACCAACATACTTCGAAGAATAAGGAAAACACAAATTTATATTTAGTAACTTCATCTTTTTCGGTCATCATCAATTTTCTAAAATGTTCAAAATATACTATTGTTACCAGCTATTGTAGATTTAATCGATCAAGATGAATTTGTCGGCCAAACATAACTTTTCTAGTGAATATTATGAATTTTCCGGTCAAGATTTGCGTGTGTGTGTTTTAAAAACCATTTCACTTTCTAAATCTAACACATCAAAACCCATCAAATTTAAAAAAATCTACAAAGAATATGAACAACTTAGAAAATTGTGTAAATTTCATAACATGCAAAAAGATTATCAGACATTTGTTCGATTTTGAAATATCTCAACAACTCAAAAAACTGGGAAAATGTGTTTGTGTTCGTGGGCTAAAGAACTCAAAAACTAAACAACTCAGAATGTGCTCATGTTCAAAAAAAAAATATGACAACACAAAAAAAAAAGTTAAAAATTTGAGCACAATGGATTTTCAGATATGTGTACATGTTCTTGGTGTAACATTCAAAAATTCAAAGAAATTTAAAATTTTCAAAATCAACCATTAATCAACATTGTTTACAAAAAGAGTCAATGTTTTAAAAGCATTATTTCAAATCAGAGTTTTCCCAAGACCCAGTGACATAAATCAAGAAGTTGTGTACGATCACGCCTTTGCTTTCCCACGATCATCATGATAAACTAAAAATTGTAAGCCAAAGCTTAGTGAGTTTCCCCAAAGTACCTGTAACGCCCCAATTTTCAGGTATTAATTTTATGGCTTTTATTTTCTTAATTTCAATGTCTACTCGACGAGTTGGATGCTCTAACTCGTCTAGTAGAAGCGGGTTGGGCCACGTGTTTTAGTGACCTACTCGCCGAGTCCAAGATAGGACTCGACGAGTAGGAGCTGGAGGATGAAACCCTAATTTTCAGGGTTTTGCACCCTATTTAAAGGATCATTAGCCTCTTTTAGCCCCTTACAGTCCCTTGAGAGTCCAGCAAACCCTAATATGTGTTTGTGCTCCATTGTTGTGTGTTTTAAGCTTTGGAAGGTGGATCTTAGTGAGATCAACTTGAAGATCAAGTAGCTAGCAGCAAGGAACTTTGGTGGATCTGAAATCTACCTCAGTTAGCATCATTTGAAGGTATCAAGTCGTTACCTTGACCTCATTTCCTTCTAGATCTCATTTGGTTAAAGATTATGGCTTTTCTAGCATATTAGGAAGATATTCTTGGGTATGAGCCAAAATCTGAAGTTGCAACTTCAGATCTAAACTATCTTTGGTCTCGAAGTCCATAAAGCTTCCAACTTTAGCAAGTATGAATCTCTCCTTAGGTGTAAAACACCATTTCAAGCTTGGATTTGAGATTATGGGTCTCTAGAGCCTTGCATGCACGTAAATTTTGCAGCTTTACGTGATAAACATGCCTTAGGAAACTGGATTTGTAATATGGAACCTTAAAATGGCTTAAAAAGCACCTGTATAGATAAAGGGTTTAAGGGACTCGGCGAGTTGTATGGTCAACTCGGCAAGTCCGATGAAGATTGTCGTGCAAGGACTTCTGTATGGACTCGGCAAGTCAACTAGGGTTTTTCCGATATTGGACACGCATGAACTCAGCGAGTTGTAAGGAAACTTGATGAGTCAGTGGGGGGATTTCACGACTACTCGATTTCTGGAAGGACTCGACGAGTCGGTGACTGCACTCGACGAGTCGGGTCAACATGGATTGTTGACCTTGACCGTTGACTTTGACTTTAACCAAGGGTTGACTACTTGACTTCTGGGGAATTTTGGGAATTTATGAACATGATTCTATGGTGAATATAGGTGGTAGGGTTTGTGGCGGTGATCTGAGAGTTTGAGCTTATCACTTCGAGTCGACAGTTGAGTGGTGAGTTGTCCTCACTATATTAATAGGGTCTTAGGCACCAATGTCGAACCTTATCGGATTTGCATCTGGGTTTATTGCATGATATGTTGTTGATTACATCCTAGTAGTTAGGATGGTTGTTATGTTAGAGATCGGTTAGATCAGTATCTTGGTTATAGGATGGTTGTTATGTTAGTGATCGGTTAGATCGGTATCCTAGGTATAAGATGGTTGCCATGATTAGTGATCTGTTCGATCTGTATGCTTAATTGCTTATATGTATGTGCACATGTTTTTTGGTTTGGGGGAAAGGGTTGAGGCAGGTCCTGTTGTGTGCAGTAGGCCAAGACATCCTGGGCGGACCGGGTAGACTGCACGCCCGGGTCAGGCAAATCCAGTCAGGATGAAGGCCCATCAAGCGGTCCGGATAGGCTGAAAACCCCGAAGAGGGCGGTCCAGACGTGCCGATGACTCGAAGAGCGGTGCAGATAGAATGAGGACCGAGATTCAGTACAGTCAGACTGTTGGCTCATTATGCATGTTGTATTTGTTATATGATATGGTTATATTTGTATGGCGTTGGTATTTTGGGGAAACACACTAAGCTTCGGGCTTACACTTGTGGATTTTGTTTCACGTACTTTGGATGATCGTAGGAAGGCGAAGGCATGATCGTACCGCTCCTCCTGTTGTTATGATTTTGATGATTTGATACTGGGATACTCGGATATTTATTATTTTGAAAACAAACTTTGTAATGTGAAATGGTTTAAAATGTTTTGAAAAAGTTTAAAATTCGGCATGATTTTTATGGGTGTGACAGTACCAATACACATATACAAATAACAACACACATAGCTAAAAGGCTGGATTACCCTTAAGTCCACAGTATGATTTTGGCTTTCCCTTCAGGCCGATAGCTCATATATGGCTTGCTCCCGAACCCACAACATAAGTCTGGCTTTCCCTTTAGGCACACAGCTTATGTCTGGCTTGCTCCCGGGTTTATTGGCTACCGCATAAAGCAATACTACCTCAACCTAACCATACTATGTCGACATATTCGTAACAAATAAACATATAACAGCCAAGGTTGTAAAAATCGCTTGACGTTACCTAGTCGGTGGACTGGGGTTAAGGGATTAATCGGTTAGGCGGAGATTAATCGGAGACCATTAATTGTTAATTTGTTGAATTTTAAAAAATTAAATATGACTAATATCATATAAAAGTTTATAAATATCACTAATATCATAACAAAATAGGTTAATATGATTAATAAAAGACTAATCATACCTTAAATAGTTTCTATTGAGATATAATTTCTTCAAAGTGTTAAATTTTCATCAAGTTTTATTGCTTCACTCATTGTGTATGAAGGGATTAATCGCTAGACGCCCTCTAATCGGTCGAGTAGCGCCTAGGGATTAATCGGGACCTAGTCGGGATTTTTACAACACTGATAACAGCAGACAGATAAACAAGCAGATCTTAACATATCACTACTATAACATCCTAAAAATCATAAGTAAAAAATGTCATTTTTAATTCAACCATAAAAATCATTTAATTATTCAAAATTACATCAGTGTAAAAATAGTTATCAGAGTATGATCCCAAAATCATATAGTGTGGAAACATAGGTGGATGTAGTGCAGTCATAACGGACCCTTCCCTTTTGTACCAGAAATACTTGAAACCATGAACATAAACCATAAGCATAAAGCTTAGTGAGTTCCCCAAAATACCATATATCATACATACAACGGAGATTGTTATGTCCCGAACATAGTCTTGCGAATAAAGTTGCGGAAATGTCTTGTGGATGATTCCGTTGTGGTTCCATTGGAGGATATTCAGGTGGATGATCACCTGATTTATATCGAGAGACCGGTGGAGATTCTTGATCGGAAGACGAAAACCTTGAGGAACAAGGTTGTTGAGTTAGTGAAAGTTCAATGGTAGCATCGCAAAGGTTCATAATAGACGTGGGAGCCGGAGGATGATATGAGGGAGCACTACCCGGAGTTATTTGGGGTAGCCGACTTCAAGGACGAAGTCTGATTCAAGTGGGGGGGGGGGGGGGGAATTGTAACGTTCGTAATTTGGTATTTGTCATTTTAGCCCTCGTAATGCTTAATTTATTTCATGTTGGTCCCTATCTAGTACGCTTAGCGTACTAGCTCTCTGAATGATTGCGAGTTCACCCACATACATTGGGCGTATGTGGGAGTACGTTGGGCGTACGAAAGGATTGGGCAAACCCTAAATTTTAGGGTTTTCACCCTATTTAAACAACTTAAACCACCTTTGTACATTTTATTGATCAGCCTCCATCACCCTATATCCTAAAAACAAAACCCTAAGTGCCTCTTGTAAGTTTTGAGCTTGAAAGTGAGATTTGGTGGTGTTTTAGTGAAAGAAGAAGAAGAACTCTTGGTGGTTGCTTGAAAGTAGCTTGGGCTTGTAGATCCATGTTCATCATCATCTTTGCAAGCCATTTTAGGTATAAAGTTCTCTACTTGATTGTTCATTATGCTAGATCTATTTTTGGGACCTTATTTATGCATTTTTGGATCTTTTGAGCTAGAGTTGAGCTTTTGATCTACTCCAGAAGCCATGAATGTTAGATCTTAACTCCATGTAGGTCCCTTGTTCATAAAAATGAAAACTTTATGAAAGATATTGGTCCATGCAAGTGTTAAGAGCCTTATTAAGCTTCTTTTTTAGTGTTGGGTCCCATTAAGTCATGCATGGGTGTAAAGTTGCCAACTTTACGTATTAAGTCACCTTTTAGGATCAGATCTGAGAGTTTGGCTAAAGGTCTCAACTGATTAAGTGCTTAATGGAGTGGATTGGTGATCTGGGGAGTATGTTGGACGTATCCAGCTGGTACGTTGCGCGTATTGTCCCTGGAAGGAGTACGTTAAGCGTACGAGCTGAGTACGCCCGCGTACTCAGCAGATTGACTTTCATTTTGACTTCCTCGGGTTTGGGCTTTAAGGTTTTGGGCCTTGTTGGACCATTGGACTTCTAACTTTGGGTCATGGATAGACTATATACTTTCTCGGGATTAGGTCCATAATGATTTTTGGGCCCAATTTAGAAGTTGGGCCTTATTAGGCCTTGTGATGCCATTTAAGGAATTTGGGCCTTTTCAGTAGTTGGGTTAGGCCTTGTTTTGGGCCAAGTAAGGACAAGGGTAAAATGGTCTTTTACCCTAGAAATTGGTCAAGTAGCTTAGATTCAGCAGCTAGAGGTGAGTTTCCTCACTATGTTTAGCGGGCCGAAGGCACCATTGTTGGCTTATGGTTTGTTATGTTTAGGATGCTAGTTGTTTGCGTGACTCTTGCATGTGATATGTGTTATATGTTTACCGAGTGCGGCCCGATAACTATCATGTATGCTATTTATCTTTGTAATTATTGAATGTGTTGTATGATTATATGTTTATATGTGTATCGGGCAGGGCCTGATGACCGACATATATGTTTACTGAGCGGGGTTCGATGCTGGGCGGAGCCTATTATATGTTTGATATGTATGGTATGTGGTATTTTGGGAAACTCACTAAGCTTTGTACTTACGGTTTTCAGTTTATATTCCAAGTACTTGTGGTTCGAAGGGGAAGAGCCCGGGATGATTGCAGCACACACAACACATCGTTCCGCATGTTTATATTATGCTGATGAACTTGGATGTTATCGATACACTTTGATTCACCATGGTTTTTATGATGTTGTTTGGATAATGGTTTTAATTAATTTAAAAATCGAATTTTTTAGTCTTAATTTTTGGAACGTTACAAATACCGAGAATAAGATAAACCCGCAAATATTAAATCCTAATTCCACTTATACGGTTATACCATATATGTTATTCGAACCCGTGACCTCTCACAAATGAATCCCTGACTTCTCACAAATGAAAAAATCTGACTTCTCACAAATGACAATCTAATACAAAATACTCTAAACCCCTAAATTGATAAACATAGCATTTGGGCCTAATTACAGGCTTTTCCTCGTTGATAAAAAAAATGAAGAAAAAAACCCAAAACAAATAGTTATACGCATTAAAGAAATTATCTTAATGGATATACTTTTAACTAAAGAATTCATATGTTAACGTTATGTATCAGTAAACATTATTGACAAATCTTTCTTGCCATTAATCATCACTTCAACCACATCCTTGATTATAATACTAGGAAAAAAGAGACAGAGACCCTATTTGAGAATGGTTGACCAGTTAAGAATTCCACATTTCTTGGATCACCAATCACTTAGCATCCTTCCTTTCTCCCTCGCTAAAAATATGTGGTGCTTGGAGAGAGAGAGAGACACTTCATATATATCAACCATCTATCCATCCAACCTTTTCGTTCCACCTTCACAATCTAATTTGGTAGAACAGATTCCCAGAATCGTCACAAACTTAGTGAGTGAGGGCGGTTTCCGGCAACTAGGAGACCGCTCCACCACCATAAGTTTGCTCACCTTTTATGTAGCCCCGGCCTGAATTCTGGTTTCCAAAGTTTACGGTGAGATCTCTAAACCCTTCAAGTTCTTACATATGTAAATCTATCTTCTTCTTCTTCTTCTTCCATCTTTGAAGTTGTTCCAAATTCATATTTTGGGTTGTATAAAATCTGTTAATTAAAGAAACTTACACTACTATCAATCTTCAAAGCCAAGAAGAGGCAAAACTGATACCAAAAAAGAAAATGTCGGGAAACGGGGATGATGAGTTGTCTCCATCTCTTTTGCCATGCGAATGGGTTCGTGGCAAAATGATCGGATCAGGCTCATTCGGGGTTGTTCATTTGGCCATCAACAAATCAAGCGGCTCACTTTTCGTGGTGAAGTCATCCGAATCTCAAGAGGGGGATCAGTCTCTTGAGAACGAAGCTAGCGTTCTCACGAGCCTGGATTCCCCTCACATTGTACAATGCCTTGGAAAAGACGTTTCCTTCGGCGAAAACGGTCACACAAAAACAAATCTTTTCATTGAATACATGGCAGCCGGAAGTCTCGGTGATGTCGCCGAGAAACTCGGTGGAAAATTAGACGAGGGAGTCATCCGTGTCTACACCCGGGAAATCCTCAAAGGATTGAAGTATCTCCACGATAGTGGAATCGTCCATGGTGATGTTAAATGCCAAAATGTGCTTTTGGGTCCATGTGGGACCGTAAAGTTAGCTGATTTCGGCTGCGCCCGACGGTTACCTTCAGGCACAGGCACCACTGGAGCCATCAATCGGAAGTTCCTTTGCGGAACTCCGTTGTGGATGGCTCCAGAAGTCCTAAGGAACGAAGGGCTAGATTTCTCTGCAGATATCTGGTCTTTAGGGTGCACCGTTATTGAAATGGCAACGGGGCGGACCCCATGGGGCGAGCTTGGGGCGTCGAATCAAATGGCGGCGATTTTGAAGATTGCTTCAAGCAACGAGTTGCCTTCATTTCCTCGGGATTTTTCGAAAGCCGGTTTGGATTTTCTCAACAAGTGTTTGGTGAGGAAGGCTGAAAAGAGATCTACCGTTGATGAGCTTCTAAATCATCCATTCATCAAGGGCGAAATGGTAATTAAAAAACATGAAATGTATTCGCCGTTGAGTGTTTTGGATATGGGTGATGACGGGTATGGTTCGGATGAGTCTGTGGAGATGAAAGTTAGGAGTAAAATACCATTTTCAGTTCGCCGTTATGAGAAGAGAAAGTCGACACAAAGGCAATGTACAGAAAATGAGATGGTGTCACAGGAAAATTGGGTCACAGTTAGGACCTAAAAAGAAAGAATGTGTTAAAAAGAGTTGATGGATGAATGAATGAATGTATGATTGTATAGGATTTTAGGGATGATGTTTTTGTTTGAAAAAGAAAATGTACAGCCAAACAATAGTTTTTACTAAAACCAGCCCCAAAGTGTTGAATTAGTTTTATTTGTTTAAAATAAAATAAAATAAAAAAATATTGAATATGAATCGTATCTGTATGCAGGACAGGCTTTGAGATTTTAGAGATCATGTACAACTTAAAAGTTTTAGGCACCAAAAATAATAAATCCTAAAAAAAATAAAATAAAAAGGATCCATTTTGCTATCTAAAGTCCACTTCTACATATATTTATTGTTTAAACATGACATTACAATGTTATCCAAGCGCCCTATAGGCCTATATCATCCAACTTCCTTAAACCTTTCACTAGAATGTTATTTAACATTAACAGATTGTGTTTTAACATAAATGAAGCGCACTGTTAGAAGGCCAAATACGAAGATAAAATACAAAATTTCATAATTTTTGCAATCACCAAACAAAAATGGACCAAAATGTACATACTACTCGTCTCATTCTCAACTCGTTGACTCAAGTTTATATGTTTCTTTTAGGATACAATTTTACAAATTTAGAGTCTACGGAAAAACATTACTGGACTGTGAATTGGGCCACAAAATAGTCCTCATATATATAGCATAATTTTTTTTTACATTATTTTCAAGGTGAAAACTCTAAAAAAAAAAAAAAAAAAAAAAAAGCTTATAAAAAATCTATTTTCACACCATTTAAGCTTCTTTCTTGTGGAAATTTTCTTTGAAATTTTTACCACAAAAAAAGATTTAAAAAGGTTTTTTTTTTTCAGGTATCAGATAATAAGAAATTATGAATTTCGTTGATCAGATTTGAGAAATTATAAAGTTCGATATAAAACCTGTAATTTTGCAGATGATATATGCATAAAAAATTTTGCATTTGTTTTTTCTTAAAACGACGTTATTTGGAGTCATGTCCATTTCGACATCTGCAAAATTAGTTGTTTTAGTGTTCAGACTTATTTTTTACAACTTTTTGGAAAATAGTAATGTGATTAGACACGTCTTTTTTGTCTTATCATTATCAAATATAACTATATTATAGTCATTGACGATATATTATGTATTAAAGCATCCACACCAATAACATTTATAGTGAGTTTCAAACGGGTGACACACATCATTTTGTGTCCTATCATTTCTAACCTCATATTTCCATTAGCCTTTTAACCATTATCATAAGGTGTCACCATATAATACACAGATGTTGCATTCTTACCAATTTATATTAAACCCAACATGCCATTGCCATTTGCCACCAAACAAAAGATATAAATCTTGTTTCCCAAAGTATTTGTTCTAATTCGACACAAAAATTACAATAAGTGCCTCATAAAAGGGATACCCGAAACCTAAGAACATGCATATATGTCCATGAAGCCATGTCCAACATATGACATGAAGTTATTTGCAACAAAAGTCAGTATGTGATGTAGTTAAGTCCCATTGAAAATAAAAGGAATGAAATCTTATCATTCAAGAAGTTGATTGCTTCAAATAAGCAATAAGATCAGCTCGATCTTGTGGTTTCTTCAATCCAGGGAAAACCATCTTTGTTCCAGGGATATACTGCACAACATGAGTTTCACAATTTATAAGAAAAAAGAAAAAAGAAAAAAGAAAATGTGATGTGAATTAGGACCTCTCAAGTTTCAAATGATATATGTGGTCTTGTACCTTCTTAGGGTTTAGCAAGTAGTCATAGAGTGTATTCTCTCCCCAGGTCACAGCCATGTTCTTGTTGGCAGCAGAATAAGAATACCCTGCTGTGGTGCCAGATTGCCTTCCAAAAAGACCATTCAGATTTGGCCCTGAAGTTCATATGAAGCCATATGAGCATGCTAAAAAAAACTTGAGATAGACAAAGAAATCTTTAACAAATGCTAAAAGTACAAGACAGATGCAATACAACAACATTTTTATGATTCAATTCCACTTGATTGGTAGTAAATTGGACACAAATGGAAGATTCCATCAAAGGAAGGAAATGATCATTCCATCAAATAGTAGATGGAATTCAAATCCGTTCCCTCACTTGGTTTATTGAAAGACAAAAATTATGAGAATGATTACAAACAAGTGGTCCTGATTAAAGAAGTCGTACACCTAACCATGTGATCCTAAAGCAGATGAGCTTAATAAACATCAAATCACTACATACAGATACAATTACTCGCTAAGAACCCAGAGAGCACACAATTGAACAATATAGCATTCTTTTACCAGGATGTGACATATGAAAGAGTCAAAAGTATAAAGATCACGACATCAAAAGCATTGCATTCGTCGAATCACAGTAAAACGAGAAATCTTCGATAATATAGCAGCGGAAATTATACTATTTCAAATTACAATAGAGGAAAAGGCAAGCAATAAGCTATTTGGGATTTAGACAAGAATGTAAAAACCTTGCTTGTGACCGGCTCCTTTTTCGACGGTGTGGCACTGAGCGCACTTGGTTTTGAATATCTTCTCTCCGACTTTAGCATCGCCTCCTGGTGCTTGTTCGAATGACGCCATTTTCCGGTGAAAGAAACGCTGCCAATAAGAATCTTCAAGAGTTAGGGTTTCGATTTTTACAGAGACGACACCGCCTTTCGAGAACTTTCTTCTTTCTTTTACAGGTGTTTTATGGCGTTTACATAAAGGATCGTGGCTTTATTGACGCGGCACACGCCATGAGACATTTATGCCCTCACTTCAAATTTCATCTGACGCTTTTACCCTCATTTACAAGAAATCTTGTATTTTAGATTAAATTTTTTTTGAAAGAGGTATTTTAGATTAAATTACAGATTAAGACCTTGAACTATTGCTTAATCTCGAGGTTCTAGCATATTTAGATGTTGTTTGATATTTTGTTGACGGATTCTGTCAAACATTTTTTGAGTGACTATATGCGATCGGTATGTTTGATACATGAGAAAAATGGGTCTGATCCGATTATTGATTTTGCTCCGAAGAAAAAAAAAGAGGTTGACCGAATAGGTGAATGAGATAATGACAATCATGCCCTAATAAAAAAACATGCCTCCTTCCGATTTCAGCACCTTCAACGCTTGCCCCCATTTTACCTAGGTGACGTTGTCTTTTTTCGTTTTCCTTGTCCTAGACGCCTTCTTCTTCTTCTTGCCATGATTTCCAGCAGCACTCTTCCATTCTCCACCTACCATATTTCTTAAGATAATGGTGTAGAACTAACACATGTCACACACTGCAATGATAAAAAGTCTTTGTTGTATTTTTTTTTATTTGTGATGTGAATAACAGTTGCATTATGTAATCATTATTTGCAAGAAGTTACTATATTTCTAATTGACATGGTCTTGTTATAGATTCATTTTAATAAGTAATCAACATGTCAATAATACTAGTTAATAGTTATAGTTGTATTTATATAGAAAAGATGAATTTGTATCGTTTGAGTTACAAACAGAACAGAAAGGTAAAATTATCATTTTCATCGTTCCGAACAACCAGTTAGACGTAAATTTAGTCAGAGTTCAAACTCAATCATATATTTGAATCAATCAACTCATTCATCAATTATCAAACAAGTCAATATTTGGTCTATTAGATGTTAGAAAATTAAGTTTCATTTTTATATAATCTAGTCTTGTTACTTATAGTAAGAGGTTAACTAACATGCTTGGTAAAAAAAATCGCATCCAAGAAGTTATTAAATGATACAATTCCTAATTAGAAGTTATGTATGATATATAAAAGTATAACCCGATTGCTTTTGACAAACCGCAATAAATGATTTACCATATAACAAAGGTTTATTTTCCAAAAATTAAAGGATGTAATTGTTTACCAAAAAAACCCGATAATTGATAAGTGATTAAATGTCATCGTTTTAAGTTTGCGAAATATAATTGGGTCATATATATCAACAAACAAGCAACCGACACCGAATGGTTTTTAACCACAAATAGTGAACTTTAAGATTTAGCATCGACATATATGGATATAGATGTTTGTTTATCGAGGAAAAAAAATATAGATTTCCGTATATTAACATTTTTCAATAAAAACAAGCAATTGAAAACAATGGTTATGGTGCTCTGATTTTTTATTTTTTTAATATGGTTAGTTTTTTAACCCAAAAAAAAAAAAAAAAAAAAAGATTTTTTACCATTATTTTGCGGTCATCATGATCGCGATAGAAATTTTATTAAAAAATGGATGTATTTTTTTGACACAAGTTAGAATTAAATGGGCAAACTAAAATATAGTATTGTTATGTTATTAGCCCTATATTTTATGGGTATCACAAAATTCGTTTAAAAATGCTCCAATCAAAATAAATTTCAAATCCCTAAAATTTTGGAAAGCTTGACAAAATTCATGCAAGGATTTTACACCAAATTTATAACTTGACAACTCAACATGCATCTCCAAATTGTTGGTTGCAAATAACATTAGGCCAAATATTTACAAATATGAGATTTACATTTATAAATATGAGATTTTTTAACATTTCATATTTAACTTAAAAATATTTCATATAATTAATATATTTTACATTTAATTTTGATAATATTTTTTATAATTTAATATTTCTTATTTGTGCCTTTAAGACATATTAGAAAACCCTTATAAATATTTTAGAAGAAATTAAATTGTTTGCTATTTTTTATTTTTAAAATATATCTATCTAATAAAATTATGATAAATGTTATCATTCCGTATTTTTTAAACTAAATCATTAAAACTATATTAGAAATATATCAAATAAAATTAAATTAAATGGTGATTTATCATAATTTAATTTCTCATATTTTAGTCACCATCTTTTATTAAAAAGATCCATATCTTTCTTGATAGATTCAATTACAATGTGTAAAATTGCGTAACAACCAACTATAGTTTTATGTGTGGAAAAGAGTTGTGGAACAAAAGAAAGCAATCTCCGACTTCCAAAAAGGAAGCAACACGATCAACAATAACAAAGAAAATGCATAAACTGGATGAAATTTTACAAGGATTTTATAAAAGTAACAGCAGAATATCATTGAGATACACATATCATAATTTCCACCAAAAAAAACAAGGTGGATCTCCCAGCCAATCCAACATATCTCAAAATCCCAAACACAAAAAAGAAAAAACAAAAAAGAAAATTAAAAAACAGCAATACTTATTAAGTCTAACCCCTTTACAAACTATCCACCATTCCCACAAAATTTAAACCCTTTTTTTTCCCACTCAACCTCCCGATGAAGGAGGCAACATAGGCCACCCCAATAACCTTGGTGACCCCACGGGACTCGCCCGCTGACTAGGCGAAAACAAACTTAATTCCACAAACGCCCCTGAACCCCCTTCCTCTCCTCTCTCATTCATCCGAAACGAAATCGACCCTTGTTTTCCCGAATCTGCCCCTCCACTAACAGGACTTTGGTTAGCAATCAACGAAAGGGTATCATTATATTCTTCAATAATCCTTCTCCTATCTTCTATATCTTGCAAATTCTTCAATTCCAATGAGTCCGCAATCGGATAATAAACAAGCACACAAACCGCCACCTCAGCACAACATAAAATCGACAAAAAAGCCAAGAACGCGAGAATCTCAAACAAAGTGTCCCCCGGTTTTGACAAAACCGATAAACCAAGTAACACAACGCGCAAAGGAAAGAAACTTGACACTGTGATTATCAATATGAACACGCGCTTTCTCAACCCTTTGCTTATCACTAAGTTTAAGATTTTCCTTCCTAGATAAAACAAGTACATGTTTAACAAAGTTGCGAAAAGACCGAGAAGGGTAGTGCTCGTTAACGGGTAGTAGCAACGCGAGGAGGGCGGGGATGTAATTTTGAAAAAGTAACCGCGGTCACCCGTCTCATAATGATGCCCGAATATGACAACGAGCGTTTGAAGGGCAAGAATCGGTAAACAAAATAAGAGAATGTAAATTGTTGTTTTGAAGTTCCAATTTTGGCTCAAGGGACCGGATTCGGTTTTTTGTAAGGATGCGCGAAGGAGAAAAACTAGGGTTAGGAAGAGACATGGTTCGGAGAATCCTAGGTTTGATACTATGTAACATTTGCAGATAATGTCTTGCCATTTTAGGTTAAGGGTGTTGAGTAAACGCCCTTCTTGGCGGATGAAATCAAGGCGGAGGATTTCACCGAGGCCCCACCAGATTGTGAAGAAGATGAAGATGATACGGATGACCCACGGACCGGAGAAATATTTGAGACGATTATACCCTTGGGTGCGAATGTGGGATCGGAAGTAAAAGGAGTAGAGGATGCAGAGTGTACCAATGAGTGATGAGATGGTGACTAGTGATATTGTGACCACACCAAGTGCATCAGCAACTAATTTTGTCAGGGGCATCACCCAAAACACGGATTCCACGCATGCTCTCTGACAGCATGGATGCGTAGAATTTTTTTGGGAATTTGTGTTGGAAACGATTTGATTCGTTCTTGGTGAAGGACCAATAGTTGGGTGACACGTGTAGGTTACGATTCTTGGATCTTTTTCTCCCCTTCGACGCCAACCATTCACTCGCGTGATTATGTAATTGTAATGTGCCAGCTAAGCTGCCTGCAATGACAGATATGGAAGATTAATATCAGTATTCAGTAACTGAAGATAACATAATTCATAAGTAGAAAGTTCATAACAGTTAACAAAGGTATGTGGTCTATTCTTGGAATTGATGCATGTCTAAAATCAATAATCCTATTAGCAAACTCTACAAATCCAATGACTTGAGTGATTTATGTTGGGAAGAACCCTAAATAGTTTTCAAGACACACAAAAGTCAAACAAGTTTCCACAGAGTAAATAATATTCTTAATGAGAAAGATGAGTTGAAAACCAGAAAAGCTCCTGAAGGTGACTAACACTTGGAAGAAATACGTTTGGATTCAAGCGACTAAAGGAAACCTTAGATTTGAAGTAGTTTCTACGAATTTCTTTATAATTGTTGTTTAAAGTAAAAAAATATGTTCATAGAAAGTTCAACTTTTCTATCAATGATCTATCTGTAACCTACTAAACCCCAGGCTTCCAACCACCAACGCTAGTGTATAATAAAGTTTTCCTGGAAAAGAACAACGGAATAAGGACAAAACTCGAAGAACCGAAAATTCAAGTATTTATTAACAAAACGCGATAACTTGCATTAATTCAACCGTTTCCTCCAGATTAATAAGTACAAACGAATTTAGCATTCATAAATTCAACCACACGGGAGAATAAGCATACATTAAACTGGATTTCTTCGCTCATTATACGCATAATTATATCTCAAATAACATCCTTAACAATTAGCAATTCCAAAAATCAAATTTCACCAGAAATTATATGGAAAAAAACTGATGAAAAGGAAGTAAACGAAAATATACATAGAAATAACAAAGAATAATTGCTTAAACGCCTAATTCGGCTAGAAATTGAGACTTTGTTGCATAAATTATGCTATGAAACCCTAAGAAACAATAAACGAGGCAGTTAATCAATAAATTGAACAAGTACGAAGGTGAAATCAGAAATTGAGAGATAAAAGCAGATTAATCGTGAACAACCTTACGATGCAAAGTACAACTCCAGATCGCTTGAGCTGAAACCAGATTGAAAATCAAAATCGCGAATGAAAACCCTAGAGAGAGAGAGAGAGATAGACAGCCTGAGAGAAAGAGGGCGAAAGAGAACGTAAGGTAAGGGGAGGACCAAGGCAAATAGAGAGAGAGGGAGGGGGGCTTTGTTGATGACAGCCTGTCTCCAGCAAATACACCATTCAAAGAAAAAAATCTAAAAATAGGAAGAAAGTATTATTTAATAACTTATGGAAATATAATAATTTCAATAACAAAAATATATATATATACCGACCTATTATTATATAAATTTTTCACATCTATCATCTAAATAATGTTTTAAATCATGTAAATCATTATTAAGAGAAGTTTTATATAATATTAAATATATATCAAGTCAATAAGTTGCAATTATATGATTAATAACTTATGTATGTAACTAAATAAACTTTTATTGATTTGTAAAGTTATCTTTTACTTTGTAATTGGTTTTCTAACAATTGGTGTAACAAAGTATATCATTACCACTTTATATATACACATAAATAAAGTAGTAAAAGAAATGTATAACAACTTGAATCAATAATTCAATACCGCATTAATTAATAAATAAATAACCCTATCATTACACAACTTGATAAAAATGTAACTATTTTATATAAATAAGTTCTTGACCTTTATTAAACACAAAGCATAACAATCACAAAGCTTAATATAGACATCAATTATTATGTGTTTTCGTTTCGTATTGCAGCCAAATTTGTACAAATTTAGCAATCAATAATTAAGACATACTTCTAATGGCAAGCAAAATTGAAGTTTTGTTATCAAAGACACATCTTGCCCTTGTGTGAATATGTATTGTTTGGATAAACTAAAACAACAATGAAAGATCAAAGGCATACTAACCTTAAAGTCGTTAATAGTCGGCTTTGACTTGCCTTTTTTTCGATCTTTGATGGGGGTGTGTTGTGTGTGTTTTCTACAATGTGATTTAATTTTTGTTTCATCTCAATTGGAATGGAATTTCCGAGCTACGAATAATGGGATTGACAATAGAGGGAAAGGAATCGATCATGGTTAATGGTTATAGTAAGCATAAACGCACATATAGGATGTCGATAAAATTGATGACTATGTTGATGTATATCACTAATTTCCCTCCAATGTTGGAATCACAAGATCTCATGAAGATGTGTGAACAACATGGAACACTAACGGATGTTTATATAACACGTAAATTATTAAAGATTAGGAAAAGGTCCACTTTTGTTAAGTTTTTTAGGTTGCAAGACGGGCTTGAACTAAAAAGGATAATTAGTGTTGTATGGATCGACAATCACCATATTTACGCCTCAGTTGCGAGATTTGTACGAAATGACAACCATCAGCCAAATGTGAAATCATGATCCAATTAACATACAGCTAAGGCAAGGAAAGATGAAGGTGTTGTTCATCAAGAGGCATGTATGTCTTATGTCGATTCACTGAAAGTAATGGGAATTGGTATTAATGG